CCTTACTCTTCTTATGTGAGGTTGTTTGTGCATCATTCGAGTTAGAAGAGAGAATTGAATACCATTTATTGAGTTTTTAGCCACAGACCCTCTCATCACAAACCGGGCTTTACTCTGTCCACACTAGCCATCCCCAAATTAGACTAATTAAGAATCTTTACATCTCACCTTAGTAGACCAAGCCCATAAGATGGTAAATTACAATTTTAATTAACGTAGCCCACGTAAGAAAAACTCCTAGACAACAAGCTCCCATCAATGGTTCCTCCGTCATTAATGTAATTGTACATAATAACACCAAAAACAGCTGCAAGATTAAAAGGTTTTACCTCAGTTAATTCACAAATACATATTTTTTGGTAAGAAAATGGGCAAAGCCTGAGTTATACATTAACACTTGCCTAACAAAGCTTAAATTAGATTGATCTCCTATTAATAGGGGAATTAAACCTATTGGTGGCTTGCCTATCTAACGCAGGAGTGGCATTTACATTGCAAGACTGAATGATCCAATTTGCTAACCAATCTGTGCATGAATTTCTTTCCCTAAAAGTACGAAGAATTCTGACTTATTAGAAGTACTTTGACAGTTTCCGAATTTGAAAGATGAGGATGTCGCCAAAACGGCGAAAGATAGTTGGTTTCTAAAGCAGTGCAATTACTACTTGCGAGTCCACCTGCACAATAACTTCAGGAATGCTAGAGAGATTGCTAGTTTGAGGCCTAAAATGATACCCAAAGCTTAGCTTTTAATGAAGAGCACACTTATACATGTTAGGAAAAATTGGCAAGCCAATTACCTGAATCAACAACAGTTTTATGCATTGTGACATAAACGGCTTGATCATATCTCTAGGGAAAGAGTGGAAAGGCTGATAAAGGTCGACATCTTGCCTGCTCTTAAAAGTGACCTAGAGATTTGTGTCGATTGTTGTAAGGGAGAGATGACTATGATAATGAAGAAAATTGCAATCCATAATTCTGACGTGTTGGAGGTCATTCACACTGATATTAGTGGACTCTATATGACAACCTTGTATAATTTTTTTTTATTTCATCACATTTATTGACGACTATTCTCAATATGGTTATCTATACTTAATTAAGGGAAAATCCGAGTCTCTTAACAAGTTGAAGATTTTTCGAATTGAAGTCGAGAAACAATTGGAAAAAGTCATAAAGGTTATTAAATCTAAAGAGTATTTTGACAGGCATGGTGATGCTAAATAGCTTAAAGAGCCATTTGTCAAATACTTGGAGGATTCTGAGATAGTAGCTGAGTTTACTATGCCTAGGAGTCTTGAATAAATTGGTATTGCCAAAAGGCACAATCGCACCCTTATGAATACGATGAGGAGAACAATTAGTAGGACCAACTTACCTAGTTTTTTGCGAGGTGAAGCTTTGAAAATAGCCCTCTATATTCTAAACCGTGTTCCTACCAAAGCTATTCCGTTATCTCCTTTTGAGTTATGGACTGGACATAAACCTAGTTTGAACCATTTTAAGGTTTGGGGGTGTCCTGTAGAACTGAGGTTATATAATCCAACATTAAGTAAGTTGGACTCTAGAAGCGCTCGGTGTTACTTCATATCTTAGCCAGATCATTCAAAGGGGAATCAATTTTATAATCCCAATAGAGGCACAAGAATTATGGAATCACATACAGCAAAGTTTTCGAAGTTTGATATGGCCAAAGATGGTAGCTGCTCATAGACTATTGATGAAAACAGTACGGTGGGGACTACTATATCTTTTTCTCTACCTATACAGACGATTGTGGAGCCTCATGCATCACAGACTGAGCCTATTGAGGTCCAAGATTCTCTTGTTGAGATAGTTCCTGATGAAGTCTCTCAAGCCTTTCAGGTGGAGGATGAGGCTGTAGTAGCTCCACTCAGAAGATTCATCAAGCAAAGACGATCAGCTATATCACCAGACTATATAATCTATCTGGAATCTATCCGGGAGAACATGACTACGATATCGACTGTGTGGTTAATCCAGTGACTTATACAGATGTTGTTTCTTGTCCTCAGTCAGATTTATGGTTAGATGCGATGAGATATAAAGATTTTTAATTAGTCCAATATAAGGCTAGCTAGTGTGGACCGAGTAAAGCCCGGCCTGTGATGAGAGGATCTGTAGTTGAAAACTCTATAAATAGTGCTCAAGTTTCACTTCTAACCCGGATGATGCACAAACAACCTCATAAGGAAAGTGAGGGACAGTCTCATTGAGCCAGTGTGGAAAAATGGCAATAGAGATGAAGCACTTGAGAAACAAAAAGGATCATCATCATCCCGCATCAAGAACGATGGATCCCAAATTAAGTGTACAAATCATTTTTGCTCAATTATTGTGTTCTAGAATTCTAGTTATGGTGATCTTGGGGCGCCGTTTTCGCGGCCTACATGTCGGGCTTTGGATACTTGGAACTCTTTGTCTTGGATTTGTAGGATGGGTTGACAACCCGACTTATGGAGCAGTTCATCAAGTTCAATACAGCGTGCAGAGACAGCAGATGAGGTTCTGTTCTTCGTAGCCCTGAACTTGAATGACGAACTCCAAAACGTCCTCTCCAAGTAAGAAGAGCTGTAGACATTTTGAATTTAATGTGGCATGAGTTCTAATTTTCATTGTGAATTTAATGCAGGTTTGTCGACTACGGCCGTGGAACCAAACTCGATATTGGTTTCTCTTGATGATTGACGAAGTTGGAGATTGGTACTTGTTAAACCCGTTTCTTGTTTTTCATTACAAATTTAGTTCTTGGTTCGAATAAGACTGGTGGATTATGCCACTAGCAATTCTTGAAAGACAGTTCTAATTTAGATATTGGTGTTTGAATTTATTCCATTCCTGATGGCATTGGCCACATGCCAAATCAGATGATCTAACAGCTATTCAAGCTTCTCTTTGCGGTACTATAATCCTAGATTCTTCAGTGGATGATATGGTTCAATGCATATTAATTCTACTGGTACATTAGGAGTTTCAAAGTGGATTGGCATCGTTTAGTCCAGCTTTCTCCTAATGTCCTTAGATTTGGCTTAATCTCATTATGCTGGCTGTCTTGAATAGGCTGCACAACTCTTGACATAATTAAGAGACGGAGCTCTTCCTCTACACATTCACTATTCTTCCGGGAAATTTCGAGCGCATCTCTTCTTTGAGTGTGATTTCTCAGCTCAAGTATGGAAGGGAGTGCTTATGTTCCAGAAAATTGGGATTTTCAGATGAAAATGAATGCTAGAGGTGGTCGTCTTCATCCTTATCTCCTCAAATTGGCATTGTATAGTTGCATCTATTATGTGTGGTGAGCACGAATGGTCAACTGCACTCTCAATCTGCTCGTACTGCTGATCAGGTGGTGAAGATGGTGAAGCTTGTGGTTTAAGTGCAGTGTCCAAGTTTAAAGGCCCTCGAACATAAATAGATTTAAGCACAGGCAATCCAGTTGTATTCAAAGTGGAATGTGCATTTTAATAAATAGCCATGTGGTTTTCTTATTTGTTTTTTTTTTTAGTCAATTTTCTTATTTGTTTAGTCTGCTTTTATTTTAATGTACTGCAAATTATACAGTTCCAGTGTTTTAAAGGACTTGCAGTGGACTTAGTTTTCCCACTTACTTATCCGATCAACAAAAAAGCGTTGTTGCCAGACTCGATTCTAAACATTACCCTATGAGAACTCACACTAAAAAAATTTAAAAAACAGAAACAAAGAGAGAGAGAGAGGAAACCTGACCCATACCAACCTGATCTGGACAGTGTTTTACGGTTCAGATTCTATGCGGGTCAAGTTTTGGGTCAAGTCCCTATGAACACACATTTATGTTTGGGTCAGGTTATCGTCGACAGCCTGAGGTGATAGCATCATGTGAAGGTCGTGAGACTTCTAAGTGCAAAGATTTGACAAGTTCTAAATAGGGGTGAGCACTGTCCCGGGTCAACCTAGGAGCCGGATCAAACCGGGCAATACTAGACGGGTTCCGCGAGAACTGGTCTAGTTCCTGATTCCATAAATTTTGGAGCCGGCAATAATCGGTCGAGTTCCTGCTTCCTTGTGTTGAACCGAACCAGTGGAAGCAGTCCAAGTTTACATCTGTGTTTTTTTTTTTTTTTTTCAAATGGGGTTTTTAGACGAATGAGCACTCCTTGGAGGTTCACTGTCTGAACAAACAGAGCCGTCTCAGTATAGAGTGATTGACCATAAAAATATTTCTTGCTTTCTTAGTAGCTTGTAAGGATGTGTCTGGGTTGATTGGCAAGTGAAAATCTTCAGTTGGAAAGGGAGTTATGTTTGCAATGATATGAACTCTGCAGTGAAGGCCCAATAGGTTTCTTGAAACCTTTTAGGGGGAGGATTTGTTGAGATGGAAAGCAGGGCCACCTATAAATTTGATGCTTTGGCGCTACATGTCCAAGATGTTTTTTAGGGTTGAGGAACCATTTGAAGAGGCTCAATGCTCTCAAGCATTGGATGCTCGACAAGCTAGGCGGGGCTAGGCGGGGCATTCGTATGTGACCCTTTGTAATCCCAAATTTTCTCTCTCAGATGGACTTCCATTGGAGTCCAAGTTTCACTCCCATCCAAATTATCCAAAGATTAATTTGTGCGACTAAGAGAATCATTTCCTCTCGAACCGACAATTTGCTACAACATTGATCCTCTCTACTTTGAGAAGGTGCATAGTTGTCGGAGAAGCACGATTTGATTAGGAGATTGGAGGACAATATAGGAATTTTGTCCAGCCTGGAAAGATATATTCCAAGAATTCTACCTATGACATGCATCGTTTCATGTACTGGGACTGCCTTGCTCCTGACACGTGAAAAAACTTTTGCCTGTCGGAATTTTAATCTGTTCGTCAACCCCACCACATTAATTGATAAGGCTTCCTTAGGCCTGCTGCGAAAAGTTCCACCGATTACACCACGTACTTTGGCGGAAGTGGGGATGCACACAAGTATTATGGTTGAGATTCCCGCTCTCATCAACTAAATGGACATGGCATCAGCAGTTTGTGCAGTATTGTTCATTAAATTGCTTGCACTGCCATGACACGATTGCAAGAAAAATCAAGTTCACAGTCACTTACTAATAGTCTGGATTAAAGATGAAACCAAGTACTTCTCAAAAGTATGTAAACCAGCACCACTACAAGAAGTGTATTTGACTCACATAGCTAAAGGAAAACAGAAACACCTCAAACCACACTGAAATAGACATTGCTTTCACCGGACATCAGACGTAGCTTCACTAGTACTTGTAAACTGTGGGTCTGAATGGCCAAGCAGTGCCAGAAGCATTTTTTCATAATCTCCAGTAGTTTCCTTGGCAATGGCACGATCGAGGGGGATGCCGTTCCTTCTCCGGTACTCCTCATTTATAAACTTCATGTCGACCTCGGCCCTGGTAACAACCACTCTGGTAAGAGCCCCTTGATCTGTTCCTGGCCTATTGATGGCAAGACGAAGGACCTTCTCAAAATGCTTTTCAGGGCGAGTCAAGCATTTGACTATAGTTCTCAATATAGAAAGGAACTCATCTTTCGGATCACTTTTCAAATCCTGCGAACACGGAGGATCAAGAATTAGATAATTCTTAATCTAGAACATAGAGAAGTTCAACATATTCAGATGCGTACTACCTAAGGTTAAAGTCAGGGTGATGAGTATCTCGAAAAGGTGATATTATTAGGTCCCAATATTTTAGAAACAAGATATCATTAAGTTGCCTCTTACTTTCAGAGACAACATGACTGCTAAGTAAAAGCTCACAAAAGAGCTCCACTGGCACTCTTCATCCTCAAGAAACTGTGAACTTCAGTCATACAGATAAAAGCAACATGAAAGGGCCGGTTAATAGAAATCCAAACTCACCTTGTTGATATCATTTCCAAACTCATTTCTGTAGTGATTAAGTGTAGCCTTGATCTGAGCTTTGCTCCTAGTGGCCAACATCCTTATGAGATCCTTGTCATTGTAAGCCTTCTCTGAGATCTTCTCGTGGAGTATCTTAGCCTCTGCTTTTGCCAAAGTCATGTTCACCTCATCTCCATCATAACGGTATGAACTCACAAGAGAGACCAGTAGCTAGGAGGCAAAGAAACCATATCAAAATACAATTTTTTCCTAACAGGCAAGAGATTTGACTTACATTCAACACCTAAAGAAAAATGAAATATCTCAGGATAGATAAGAATTATCTCACGGATTATCATCAGGATAGATAATGGACCCGGTTCCTCATTGAGATAGGAGAAAGGAGTCCAATAAAAAAAACCCAAACAGGAACCGCTCTCAATCATACCACCATCCCGACAAGCATTCTCTACAAAACTCCAAAACTGTCTTAAAAATTCAACACACCGCAACTTATATTCAAACTCCCTGTGATATGCAGAATCCCAGACACGCTTTGATGTTGATTCCCTTCATCGATCAAGAAGCATATTTCACAGGACAATATATATTGCTCCGAACATCGCACTTTGCAGAGATTCATACTTCGTTTTACAAAGGTACTTATTGCAAAATGCATGGAAAAAAGTTACTCAGAAAAAAAAAAAAAAAACAAACATCAGGATCGGGAAACTTCACGGCAGAGCTTCAGGCAAGCGTAAAAACAGTACCTCAGAAAATTCCCCAGTTGTGTAATGATCGACGTCCTCTTCCAGCGACTTCTTGTATCGAGCATGATACGCTGCTCTTAACAAAAGCAGCTGCTGCGGAGACCTTGTGCAGGCTAATTCCACGAGAATCTGATTGCTCGGGGTCGATCCTTTCGTTGCTTCATTTGCCAAGTACGCATCACATTCAGCCGGATCAAGCGTGCAAAGGTCCACCAGCCTCTGATGATATGGAAATTAGAAATTACGTTTTTTTATGAATAGAACATATAATCACGTATCGCTAATCAACGAAAATAAATGGAAGAAAAGGAATTACTCCAAAAAGGAGAGGGACACATCTCCACGGAACGAATTTAAATAATTAAGGAAGACCAAAACCTTGAATTCATTCGTAACGTGTTTGTCCAGTGCCGTGACAAGGTCCTCGCCATGAGCCTCGAAATATCTTTGCCTCATCAGCTTCCTGCGCGCCGCATGTCTATGAGCCAATGTGGGTATCATCAACTCCCGAGATGGATCCCATTCTTCAAGATCGTTCGTAAGAATGATCAAAGGACAAAACAATAAATTAGACAAAAAATCACACTACATTGGTAGAAAAGAATTTCATACTACATGAAGCATCCTACGTACGTACAAAGCATAGTAATTGCAGAACCGATTGATCCAGCTAATATTTACACGACGATAAGCAATTGAAGAATAAGGTCGAAATCAAAAGGGAATCATAACGATCGACTTATTTTGCATCTCCGGATCATTCGTGGACTCAGAAATAGCTCATTCTTAACAGCCGATCACCGCAAAAAAAAAAAAAAAGAAGAAAAAGAAGCACAAGAACAGATCGGTACCGAAATATCACTCCGATCAGATCACGATCTCCACGCAGATCATAGATCCAAACACCAAAAACAATACACGACCATCGATGACCAAACAAACAACGCGCGTTAGGCACTTCCATAGTGAAACATCGAGTAGCGCTCGAATCGGAGGAGTGAGAACGCGAAGAAGGAAGAAGAGATGAGAGATAGCGGACCTGCCAATAGCATCCGTAATCGGTTGCAGTCATCGGACACTAGCTTTGGGACTGCGAGGGCCGACATTGTCGAGGGAAAAGGAGGCTAGGGTATTTCGTCGTCGAAGCGGAAAGGGAGAGGGAAAAGGAAGGAGACGAGAGATTTGAAAAACTAGGCCGCCCCTTTTAAGAGGAGGAGAAGATAACTTCTCTCTCCGAACTTGGCGTGAGATGAGATCCGCCGCCACGCGGCAGGCGGGGCAGTTCAGGCCCGTGGGTTTGGGCAAAAGATTTCGGGGCCCGGTTAATGGCCGGGCCGGGGCAACCGGGCAAGGGTCCTGAAATCTGGCCTGCCCATAAATTCGCGTTAAAAATATGAGAATTATGTTTTTATTAACAATGCAATCTTGATATTTAAAGTTTATAAACACTAATAGGATTGATAAAAAAAAAAAAAAGAAGTGGCCAAATTTTGTAACATAAAATAATACAGAGGCCTAATATCAACTTTATCTTATCTTCTATACTTATTCATTTTCTAAATTGAAATTCTAAAAAAAGTAAGCGATCAAAAGGTGGCCCCAAGTTTTTCGCTTGGGCGGGCTTTGGGCACTTGCGATGGCAACGGACGTAAAAAATAATTGATAAATGTGTTAAAATTCCTAAACCTCGTCTTGAAAGTGTAATCAAGACATAAAATTTTATCAAATTGATACAATTAGACCCCTTATTAGTTTCATCTATTTTGATTAACGGAAAGTCTTGATATGGATAATTTGTTGCTTTCTCTTTCTTATGTTGCCATAATGCTATTTTTTTTTTTTTGGTCAAGCCATAATGCTAATGAAATGTGCAACAATGAACAATATGAATTTTTTCCCCTCCTAACCTTAATTAAAATTAGATTTAAAAGAGTCTAATAAAGGGCTGAATAGAAAGCCAAAAAAAAAAAAGGGCCAGTTTGCCGAAGGGGGGATTGAGGTAGGTGCAGCCGCCCCCTACTTCTCCAGCAAGGGTCAAGCTACGGCTGCTGGCCCTCATCGGTAAAGGAGGGCCGCCCCCCAGCCCAAGCCCAGATATGCACTTCGTTTTTTAAATCTTTTAATTTGGCTATTTTTTAAAGTTTAGTCTTTTTTCCTTATTCGTTTAGCTTTGTTTCCTTCTTTCTTTTTTTTTTCTTTTTGATCTTTCAAGTTCTTTCGGCGCCTACTTGGTGCCATATTGGTGCCACGTGTATTAAAATATATTAAAAAATGTCATGTTAACATTTTCTATTAGACAATTTGGAAGAAACTAATGAAGAGACTTTATTGCATCGATTTAATAAGTTTTAAAATTTGATTGTATTTTTTGAAAATTTTTAGGATTAGTTTGCACTTCCTCGACAAGTTTTAGGATTATTTATGTACTTATCCCTATAGATAATCCTTACTGAAATATGTTCTCTCTTTCCAAAGGACGTGAAAGTTACTATAATTTGATCTAAACAAATAGTACTCTGATATGCATTTGATTTTTTTCTTTAATTCGTGATGTTGCTACACATTTAACTAAAAGAATTCAAGGAAACTTCACAAAACTTGAGCATATCACATTTTCTAGCATTAGCGTTTGTGATTCTACATTACAAGCCAATTTGGCTTGCGTTATTGTGTCACGACCTCACCTCAGGGTGCACTAAGCATAAATTTAGCTCGAGCTCTTCCAAGTCCATACCCATTCATAGCTTAAGTTCAAATTCTTAACATACAAGATCATTTTAATTCGGAGTATCCCCTAATTTATTTTTTGGTGGTTCAATTAGTAACCCAAGTAAAATAAAGCAAAGTAAAGTATCGGGAGAATTATTTTACTCCTACGAACCATATATTATGGATTTGGGTATGTTAGATTACTTTAACGCCTTTTTGGTACCTTTTCTTTTTTATTTCAAAAAATATCTTGCATGCAGCTTGAATCAATTTTAATTTATCTACTAACAGGTGAGATAATCATGCAGGTGTGCAACCATTAATGTAACACCCAATAATCAAAACATTAAATTAATAGCTAAGAAGGGAAGAATTTACTTACCTCGATTGCAGCAATAATAGTTAGAAACCCATATTCATCCTAAACACGATTTCTAATTATCACACAATTCTAATCAATTCTTTTTGGGTTTTCACTTATTCAAATGAAAACTAAGCTATATGCAATGCATGTAATGTAATTCTAAACTGTGACTACAAGACCTAGCTTAATATGACGTACAATTAAAATAAGATTATTCTAATATGACATGCATTTTGATTACATGAACCTAGACATGCAATATCTAATGACGGGCAAAATTGACATGCAATTCAAAATTAAATTATCCTAAACATATAATCCCTAAACGACATGCAAGCAATGATATAGCGTATATGATGATATGGCACACGACATAGCATTGATGACGTGGTACGATGACACAGTGTAATGACACGGCATGGATGATGCAATCTAAACTATATATAATACGCATGGTATTTTCATTAAAATTCGAAATAAAAAAATACCCTAATCTAAACATGTGATCTTAACTAAGAAAAGAATCTAACCTATTCTAAGATAATTGTTTTGGTAATTTTTTTATTAAATTCGTAATTAAAAACTACTCAAAATTAACTATTAAGATTAAGATATTATCTAATTTTAACTACGAAATAAATCATCTATAATCTAATTTAAATCAAAAAGTTATCCCAATCTTCTAGAATCTATTTAAATAGGGTTAGTACTACAAAAAAAAAATCGAAAACTGGTAAACCTGTGATAAATTTATCGCAAACTAATTTTTTGACCATAAAAAACTCTAAATTGGTATACCTGTGATAAATTTATCCCAAATTAATTTTTTGACTATTAAAAACCCCAAACTCGTACATTTTTGTAACAAATTTACCCTACATTAGTTTCCGTTGAATTGAATTAATATTACAGAAAATCACAAACTGGTACACCTATGACAAATGGAGGGCAAAACCCCAAACCGGTACACCCGTCAATTGCCATGTGTCATCTAACTCAGCAATTTGACAGTAAAATTTAATGAAAACTAATGGAGGGTAAATTTGTCATTGGTGTACCAATTTAAGATTTTTTGTAGTGAAAAAAATTAGTTTGGGGTAATGAAAGATCATTTTAATCAAGAGTCGCCACTAATATGTTTTCTGGTGGGTTAATTAGTAACCCAAGTAAAATATCGAGAGAATTAGCTTATTCCTACGAACCAGAGATTACTTAGGTACCTTTAATTTTGATTTTTTTTTGCAGGAAGTTTGAATCAATTTTAATTTATCTACTAACATTTGAAATGATCATGCAGATTTATAATCATTAATGTAACACCCAATAATCAAAGCATTAAATAAATTGCTAAGAAGAGAAGAATTTACTTACCCCGATGCAAAGCAATCTGCAGCCATAATAGTTAGAAACACATATTCATCCTAAACATGGTTTCCAATTATCATGCAATTTCAATCAATTCTTTTTGAGTTTTCTCTCTTTTAAATGAAAACTAAGATATATGTAAGGTAGGGGTGAGCATAGTCTGGGTGGGCAGTTCCAACATGTAACCGGGAACCGTCCACTAAAAAATCGATTCCGAGAAATTGAAACTAGAAGCCGCTCATTGGTTCTATAGATCTACCCAGGAACCGGACCGTCGATCCGATCTGGTTTCCGAGTGAGTCCATAGAACTGGTCCCACCAAATTCCACGCAAATAGAGATGACCGAGAGTGAGAGAGGGAGGCGATGAACAGATATAGGCGTGGTCGTCAGTTGATGGGAGTTGAGAGTCGAGCTTCAAATTAGAGATTTTATGGTTTTCAATTTTCTAAAAATGTTTTCCTTTTTTTTTGGTTGAAATTTTTCTTAAAAATTATATATATGTATATTTATAAATTACCGGTTCGATTAGAATAGGCGGGTGGGCGGTTCCACACCTAAAACCAAGAACCGGACCAGTGTTCACGGGAACCGCCGGTTCCTGACCGATCCAGTTCCGGGCGGTTCTCGGCTCTTGTGCACACTCCTAATGCAAGGCATGTAATGTGATTCTAAATTACGGTTGCATGACCTAGCTTAAAATGATGTACAACTAAAATAAGATTATTCTAATATGACATGCATTTTCATTACATGAACTTGGACATGTAATTTCTAATGATGAGCAAAATTGACGTGCAACTCAAAATCAAATTACCCTAAACATATAATCCCCAAATGACATGCATACAATGACATGGCACGTGACATAGCAGTGATGACGTGACACGATGGCATGGCATACGATGACATAGCGTAATGACGAGGCATGGATAATGCACTCTAAACTTTATGACATGTGCATGGTATTTTTTGTATTTTCATTGAAATTCAAAATAAAATAATACCCTAAATTAAACATGTGATCTTAACTAAGAAAAAAATGTAACCTATTCTATGATAATGTTTTTGGTATTTTTTTTATTAAATTCGTAATTACTCAAAATTAACTATCAAGATTAATATATTGTATAATTTAAACTAGGAAATAAACCATGCTAAATCCTAATTTAAATCAGAAAGTTATCCTAATCTTCTAGAATCTATTTAAATATGCATCCTATCCAAACTATCCTAACTTAACAAGGAAATCTTATCAGCATGCATTCTAACTTATTATATTCCTATCGAAAATCTATCCTAATATATTAAGAAAGATTATCTAGAGTTTTCTCAAACATGCAAGATTATCTAAAATCTAATCTAGTCTAATTGCAAGATTGTTTTTTGTATTTTCTTTTATTAAGAAAAAAAATTAAAGATAAGATAATCATCCATCACCAAATATTCACGAAACTGCAAAAGATAAGCATCAAATATTGCAACCCATTCAAATTTGGAAACAAATAAAACTGATGATCATATCCAAATAATTATGGATAGGATTGATAGATTTTCCGTGCTATCAAGAATCATATCTCAGCATTAGAGATCGGACGGCCAACCAATGCATGTGGTTAAATTAAGAAATTTTTCTAATGTAAGGTTCCGTACATTTCACAGAAGATAACTTCTAGGAAAATATTTTTCGGATTTTCTGACATTCATTTCGCGGAAAATAAACTAATCATGGAAAATATTTTCTACCAATGGAAAAAACACTTACAAAATTTATTTATTTATTTTTTCTCCTTTTCTTTCTTTTTGTTTTCTTTCTTCCTCAGTCGGTCATCGGCCACAGCGATGGCCGGCCATAGGCAAGGCTCAAGTGAGGCCGAGCCTAGCCTTGCCTCGCTCAAGGCTGACGAGACGAGGCGAGGCGAGGCCTCACCTAAAGTTGGAGAGCTCGAGCTCGCCGACCTTAGGCAAGCAAGGTCGAGCCTCATCTGTGGCCGGTCGCGAGCCATTGCCATGGCCGCGACCGGTAGAAGAAGAAAGAAAAGGAAAAAAAAAGAGAAAAAAAGAAAATAAAAGAAACATTAAAATTTATTTAAATATTCAAATTAAAAAATATTCAAATTCTTTTTAAAAAAAATAAAAATTATCAAAATGAGTGGAATGAGGATTTTCCATACTGAACAATGGAAAACATTTTCCAGTTCATTTTCAAGTCTTAGCCGAACACTAGAAAATAACTTTTCAAAAACTTTTTCAAGAAACGTTGCATTTTTGGTGAAACGAATGGAGCCTAAGTTACCCTAGTAATCTTGGAGATATGCAATATAACTCAAAGATAACAAAAAACCATCAAATTAGATAATGAAATATTCAAATTTATATCACGTGAGATCGTTACCTAATTCAAAGATTGACTTCCAAATTTGAACTTGACGGCCAGCTCGAGATCGATGACTGGCGGTGCCTCACGAACGGCAATGGATTAAATGTCGAGGGCACGCTAGTGATGGTCTCGGCAAGGATGGTGCTTGGCCAAGGATAGCCATGGTGGTGCTCGCGGCAAGGGGGGTCGGTGACTACCTCGCGGATTTGTGGGACTTGCGGTGGTGATGCTTGGCCAAGGTAGTGGCTCGACAGCTGCAGTGTCGCGGATCGGGAGCTCGGTTGGACTGCAGCAACAAGGCACAAAGAGCAGAAACATGATCGCCGGCGAGCTCATGAGGCAGGGACAGTCGCCGTTGATGGATCAGTAGGCTCAGGTCAAGGACGATAAGCTGCAATGGGGTCAGCTTATCAGTGTAGGGTCGTGGCTCGTCGTCGCGAAGCGGAGGAGATCAGAAGCATTTTTGCGGATGCACGGTTTAGTTGCGGTCAGCAATCATGTGAGGTGCAGCAGGAGCTCGGTGCAGTGGGGTTCGTGGCGATGGGGTAGCAGAAGTGTCGACTGTCAATTGGAGGACAACAGCCTCCTCGGAGGGTCGATGGTGGCAGGCAGCACTGGCGAGGTTGTGGCCACGATGTATCTCCGGCCGCGACTCAACTCTCTCTCTCTCTCTCTCCTAGAGAGCACCTCCATGCCTGCCTGTGTATTCCACCGTGACTCTCACCTCGGCACTCCGACTGCCGGCACGGGCCACCAACACCAACGACCGCCACTAGGCTCACCCCCTCACCGCTGGCCACCACAGCTGTCACTGGATCGCCCCCCATCGGCCACCACTCCGGCCACCGAACCACTAACGTCGGTGGCCAATTTTTGACACTAACCAAGACCATTCCAACAACAACCAAATCAACTAACCAAATAAGCACTCCTGCGAAGGAGTGGGAAGGCCAGGGAGCTAACAGGGACGACCCTCAACCGTAGGCTTCATCGGCAAGGGAGTTGCTCCTCCGGTGAGGGACTGTGCACACACGGCCGACTCGAACGAAGTGCACATTGCAATAAAACCACATAAAAAATATAGATTTCAGTTACCATTCAACATATATGAGAACTAATCAAGTATAAAAAACCAAGTTCCAAGCATTGATTCGTGAAAATTAATTCGGTTCCTCATTTGGACATTTCATTGAACATGTAACGTGCAAGTTGAGATGTGTGTTCTAAAGTGACATCCAACACACTTTTTGGCCCTATCATGATATGTGAAGATCTAGACTGGTATATTTCACTCTAGCTCCATCTGAGTTGGCAACGAAATGCTAAAAAACAACACGACCAGATTTGACACTAAAAGCTTAAACAGTTTGGTTTGGACATTTGATCAAACAGGTGTGGTGCAGCCTGAGAATGGAGTCACAGATCCGATTTTGACAAAGTTTATGGTCGATTTTCGACATATAGCGTTTAGACCGTCCTCACTGGGTGTCAAAGAAATGTTCACTTCGGTCGACGAGGCCGGGCGATCACCGAATGGGCTCGGTGTGCCTGGCACCCGAGAGGCAGGGGAAAAGGGGCGGAAACAGGGGAAGACAAGGATGAGAACCTACTTGTTTGCGGCTGGCCGGAGTGAGGCGCGACGGCTGGGGGGGTTCGACGGCGTCTCGGGTGGTCCGACGGCGAGCGGGTAAGACTCGAAAACTCACCAATCTCTCTCGGTCTCCTCCTCTCGCTCTTTGTTCTCTCTTCTCCGAACTCTCTCTGTTTTCAACTTCCTGCCCCGCATGGATCTCCGACGACCGGAAATGAGGGGACGGTTAGCTCGGCTCTCGACGCACGGTGGAGAGGGGGAGGAGATTTGTCTGGCCGCCTCCGATGGAGCGGCCGGAACACTCTCCTCTCTAAGGACCCCTCGATCCTCCTTTTCTTCCTCGGTCTTTCTCTCTCTCTGATTCCTCCCCTGTTCACCGAGCTCCCCTCCTTCTTTTAACGCCGAGAGAGAAGAGGATAACCTCCTCGCTTTGGGTACCACGGCTGCCCCTCTGCTCTGCGCCTCGACGATCGACGCCGCCGCCTGCTGCAGCGCTTTGCTCCGCGACGCCCCCTGTACCCGTACGCGACGCTCTCCTCTGCTTCATTGCAAGGGAAAAAGGAGAAAGAGACAAGAGGTGGGCCGGGCCAGGCCGAAGGTGAGAAGAGTTGGGCCGGCCCACGTGAGAAAAAAGAAGAAGGGGAGAACGACCGGGTCGGGCTGATCTGGTCCGGTCGAACCGGGTCGGATTGGCCAGGGTTTTTTTGATTTTTTTAAACAAGAAAAATATGTCTAATGAACCCTATTAATGCAAATGCACCTAATGTCTATATGCTATGCAATTGAATGAAAATATTTGTGTTTATGTATTAAAAATTAACCCCCTAATTTTATATGTAATTAACTTAAAATGAATAAGCAAAAATTAGGTATCAACACTATAGTGTATATGTGCATTGAAGGCCATGCGAAGAAAGGATGAAGGAAGGATGTAAAGTGCCTTTGATTATTGTTTTTTTTATACTGAGAGATGTGCCTAACTCGCCCTGAGAAGCATTTTGAGATTCTTCATGTGGTCCTCAGTGCATGGGGGTCATACAATAAATTTAGAATTTTTTAGATAATTATTTTGACATTTTAACATTCATATTACAATTGTTATAAAATATAAAGTACATAAATAAGTCAACCTAAATCGATTTTTCGAGTAGTACTAACATGTGGATACAAGTTTATGATTCATCTGTATCTGGATAGGATTACAAATATATTTTTAATGAATAATCCGAAGCTTTGAAATAAAAGTAAAAAGAGAAATAATGTATATTCACATAAGCTATTGCCGAAGTAACTTTAACTAAAACGCAAATGCTTAGCTGTATTCTAAACAAAAATAAAACACAAGGTAAATGGACAAAACTAATACAATGCAAAATAAGACATTGCTTACCTTTACTTATAGTAGAATGTCAGGATAAGTACATTAGGAGTGCCATAACTTTCATATGGCGCTCACTTTGAGCTGTAATTTTTTATTCCGCTCACTTGAATGCCACAAATTTTAAAAAAATGATCACTTAAGTACCATTGGGGATTTACCTTGCCGGAAAATCAAACGTGGATGCCGGTTGTCCTACATGGCATCGCCGGGGCTTACGTGGATAATTAATAAAAAAATTCAGAAATAAAGAAAAATCCACCTCGATTATTTCTTACTTTTTTTCTTTTCTTTCTTTGGAAATTATTATGCATTTAGAATAGACAAAAAAATTGTATTAGCCAATGGTTTGATTGGATTGTCTAATAATGCAATTACAATTGTCATAATTTTCTTGTCAATAACTAATTATTCCACTTAATTAGCTCTACTTTTCAATTTTGTCAATATAGTCCGAAATTTTTTAGCGATATTTCAATGTACTCTTTCTTGCCAATTGCCACAAAAAATCGTTGACGCGAGACCTAGTCAACGTTGGCCATCCTAAGTGACATGCTGACGTGGGCAATTTGTTGATTTCCACGTCACAATTGGCAAGACAGACTACATTTAAATATCATGCAAATATGCAGGGCTATGTTGACAAATTTGGAAAGTTAAAACTGAATTGACATCTGAACAATCGGTTTAGGACTAAATTGATAATTTTCCCAAATATTTAAATAATCACTTCTTCAATATACATATGTGTAAGCATTTTTGGGATGAGTATACTAGGAGTGCAAAAATTTTCTTACGGCGCTCACTTGAGTGCTATAAATTTGAAAAATCAATCACTTAAGTGCCATTGGTGATTTGCCTTGCCGGAAAATTTGATGTGGACACCAATCGTCCTATGTGGCATCGCCGACGCTGACGTGGATAATTAATTAAAAAAAAAAAAAATCCACGTCGGAATGGGAAATTAATACAAAAATTTCACGTAGGATGATTTGCCGGAAATGACACTCAAATAATTGATTTGATTTTATTCCAATATAGCACTTAAGTGAGCGAAAAAAAAGTTATATCCCTCAAGTGAGTGCCGTACGAAAGTTATGGCACTCCTCCTCTTATCCCGTAAAATGTCTTTTCTTTGTTTATGATAATCAAGAGACAAGTAAAGAAAAACAAAAGAAAAGATTAAGAATTAAAAGAAAAATAAAATAAAGAAATAAATAGGAAAAGTTCGAGGGGTGCAAAGTAAATTTGAACCTCTCAACTATTGAAAATGGAAAATGACACAAATGGTTTATGGACTTTTAATTTATTTAATGTGATCCTTGAATTTTAGCTCAATGTGCAATGTTGTTCCTAAACTTTTCATTTGTTCAATGTGGTCTGTGAAATTTTGATATATGTTCAATTAATCCTTAGACTATATGAAAATGTTCAATGTTTTCCTTTCATTATTCTAGTTTAACGAAATTTACTGATTTGGCTTCCAATATGGTACGTTTGAACGGTGGACAAAAAAAAGTTTATAGAAATTCAACTGAAATTAGAATATGATAATCCTTTTTAATTTATTTAATTTTGTAAAATTATTATCTATGTTATTTGATGACGTGGTTTATTATATTCTAATTTGGGTTGAATATCTTACGTGGATGATCCACTTGTAACATTATTTTTCGTCCACTGTTTACTGGATTGGAAGTTTAATCAGCAAATTCCATTTACTTGAATGAATGAAAGGATAACATTGGATACTTTCATAATCTCTAGGGACTAGATCTAACATTTATCAAAAGTTTATGGTCCACATTGAACAAATTAAAGTTAGGGATGATATTTCTCAATGGGCTAAAGTTATGGACGATATTACATATTTGATCAAAATTCATGGATTATTTAGCCTGATGGTTATTCTCAATCAGTGTTGATAATTTTGTTAAATATGTTAGGTTCAATCATTAATGAATTTCCAAGCATATCCTTTATTTTATAATTGGCATTACCACCAAGTGATGTCTGTGGCCAATTTGCGTAATAGACAATGATAAGTCAATCAGATTGGGAAGAGCTGGTATTACTGTAGTTACTTCAGGTAAAAGGCTGGTGATGTCTATAACTCTATAAGAGCATTGTCCCACGGTTGTTAAAGCCATGAAATAAATATTCCAATTTGTTTCGAGAAATTTATATGTACGGGACACAACTTGGTGTCACTTGCTACCCCATGACCTGACTGATGACACTATGGCCAAAAATAACACAAGTCGAATCTTGGCATCCTGAGCCACCGCTTCTTTGAAACACGAGAATACATAAGGTACAAGCCACCTCAAGACGGCAATAAGTGAGAGGAAACCAAAAGAATAAGTCATGTTCTGTTTATCAAGTCAGAGTAAGAGATGAATTTTCAGGTGATCTTTTGCACCTTGGTGTTTCACGAGGGGAAGGAGGAACGCCAAACTCCCGATCGAGAATGCTCAAGTACTTTCCCTCTCCTGTGCATAGCAGTGCATTAGAATGGCAGTCGATGTGCTAAAAATGACCACATCGACTCTCCTAAGATGCCTTGACTTCAGCAAATATCCGACATCAGCCATGCATGCGAAGAAGCTCTCGGTAGCCCGTGCAAGGCAGTACAGTGATATCTCGATGCGCCTGCTTTTCTTTTCAATAGCCAAGGCCAGACCAGTAGGGAACTGCCGTGAACGCAAGTACAAATGTTAAAAGGGCAGTTATGCATCCTCAGTAGTACAAATACCAGAGTCAAGAAAGAGCGTTACCGTGCCAATGGCCACCATTGGAATGTTAGAATTCCTTAAAATCCTGAAAAGAATGCATGTCCACATCCTGCAAAGAGTTTCGAGAAACTTTGTAAGTAATTTTTTCATTAACTTCACCCTCAAATTACAGATCAAATGCATTGACATATTGAGCTGTATCAGCAAATGTACGTATTCTGAAAGCTTTCATTTATATGTAATGGGGACAATAATGCGTCTACACACAGTTTAATCAAGTACTGCACTCATTCTACATACCAGAGTCTGATATCAGCAAATCCAGCGTCCAGCGTGCACATTAAAGTTGGATTGGAGCCAGACTTTTGCTTAACCAACTAGAGAGTTTGTACAATTGACGTTTGACTAAGCTTGAGAATCTTCTGGTCCAGAACAGAAGACAAGCATTCCCCACTTAAAGGTACCCATCCACAAATTCAGCTTTTCACATCCCTCCTGGCGGCAATTAAATCTTTCATCCAAAAATAAGTTCACTTGAGGCAGTCATCATACTGCCACTCCTCTTTTTTGGGACAAAGTACTGCCATTCGTGTCAAGATTTGCCTCGCATCAATTTGGAATTAGCAGCTGAATTCTTGTGGGAAGTGGCCATGCAGTGCTGAGCAACCGAGGAGATTGCCGTGATTCTGCAAAAGCACCTCCAAGGCTCCTAGTGGGTAGTCTAATGTTAATACAGATGATTCGGATATCACTCGTGCCACCTGCATGAATGATCGTGGACGATCACATGGAGTTGAAATTACGACAAGCATTGAGCATTATGGTTGAGATGCCACCTGCATGAAGGATCGTGGACAATCCATGAAGGAGGGGCGAACCATGAATTTACTAAGTGCTAGGGTTTTCTTGTGGGGAGAATTACCAAAAAAGTTTTAAACCTATTGCAATTATGCCAATTGAATCTAAACTTTTTACATTTGTGCTAATTGAGACCATTCGACTAAGTTTGACCCTAAATTACTGACGTGGACGCCAGCTGTCCTACGCAGCACGGCCGGCGTTGACATGAACAATTTTTAATAATAATAATTATTTATTTTATCTATATTTTTCTTTTATCTTTTCTAATTTCTTTTCTTTCCTCTCTGTTTTTTTTTCCCAACTCTCAACTGTGGCTGGCGACCATTGTTGGCCACAGGCGAGGGCGTCACAGCGGCCCTTGGGCTAGAGCCGTGACGCCTTTGCCGGCCAGATCTGGTGAGGGCCCAATGCTCTCACCAGATCCGGCCCATCGAGGGAGTTATGCCCTTGCCAAGACTCGGCGAGGGTGTTACGGCCCTCACCAACACCCTTGCCCGTCTACTCTCGCCGGCCACAGTTGGGAAAAAAAAAGGAAAGAAAAGAAAAGAAAAAAAGAAAAAAGTTCAAAAAAATTATTACAAATTGTCCACTTCAGCGCGTTCATGCCACATAGGACGACTAGTGTCTATGTCAGCGATTTTTGGCTAAACTTGACCGGATAAACTCAATTGATACAAATACAAAATGTTTAGTTGGCATTAAAAAAAGGTTTATGATTGAACAATTGCAATATTTTTTGAACTTTCTTGGTAATTTTCCCTTTTCTTATATATTCAAGAACACTCCTAGGGGAGGGCAATATTGTAAATGTACACTCCCGTAATAAATGAGGATAGTTGACAAATGGGGAAATGTAATCTCCACCATTAAATACCGTTAGATTGGGGAAAGATCTACAGTTGTTGTTAGACCGTACCTTTGTACGTATACAGGGGTCTCCTCCCCTCAATTGTATCATCTCACAAGTATTATCATATTCAAAGCTTTTCTCTAGAATTTTTCTCTCTAAAGATCCTTATGTGTGCGGCGATCCTTATAATATTTGTTCTTCATCATCTAAAAGGCCATAGCATCAGCAGTTCCTGCAGCATTGCTAACACTGCTATAACACGATTGCAAGGAAACCAAGTTGACAGTCACTTACTAGCAATCAAAGACTTCTCAGAAGTACAAATCCAACGCCATGATAAGAAATGTATTTGCTTCGCATAGATATAACTGACAGACTTTCTAGGGAGGCATGTTGGTAATTATATGTTACCGGAAAGCAAGGAAAACAGAAACACCTCAAACCACGCCAAAATAGACAATTGCCTCCACTGGACATAGCTTCACAAGTACTTGTAAATCAAGCCTCAGCATGGCCAATCAATGCCAGTAGCATTTTTTCATAATATCCAGTAGTGTCTTTGACAATGGCACGATCGAGGGGGACACTATTCGTCCTCTGGTACTCCTCACTTATAAACTTCATGTCGACCTCAGCCCTGGTAGCAACCACTCTGGTCAGAGCTCCTTCATCTGTTCCACGCCTATTGATGGCCAAACGAAGAACCTTCTCAAAATACTTCTCAGGGCGAGTCAGGCACTTGACTGTAGCTCTCAGTATAGCAAGGAACTCGTCTTTTGGATCAGTTTTCAAATCCTGCGGACATGAACGATCAAGAATTAGACAATTCTTAGTCTATAACAGAGAAAAGTTCAATATGTTCTGATGCATACTACAGAAAGTCGTAGTTTGAAAGTGACCCATGCCGGAACAGAGCACAAAGTATAATAATGACTAACTCAGAAGCAGGGATATTATTAGGTCTCGATTTTTTAGAAACAAGACATCGTGAAGTTGCCTCTTACTTTCAGCAACAGCATGACTGCTAACCAAAAGCTCAAAAATGAATAATACCCACTGGCACTCTTCATCCTTGAGGAACTGCAAACTTTAGACATATAAGTAAAAGAACATTAAAGGGCCAGTTCATAGAAATTCTAACTCACCTTGTTGATATTTTTTCCAAACTCATTTTTGTAGTGATTCAGCATAGCATTGACCTGTGCTTTGCTCCTAGTAGCCAAAATCCTTATGAGATCCTCATGGCTGTAAGCCTTCTCCGAGATCTTCTCGTGGAGTATCTTAGCCTCTGCTTTTGCTAAAGTCATGTTCACCTCATCTCCATCATAACGATACGAGCTCACGAGAGGTACCAGCAACTAGGAGACAAAGAAACCGTATCAAAATACAGTTTTTTCCCAGCAGCCAAGGAAATTACTTACATCACCACCTACTGAAAATCAAAAAGGTTCAAAATAGATGAAAATTATTTCATGGGTTGTTATAGTACTAATCTTTTGATGATGGACACTATAGCATATATGTGGTCTCCAGAGTTCGATGAAAATATCAGGAACTGCTCTCAATCACGCCACCATCCCAACAAGCATTTTCTACAATGTAATACCTTGCAACTTATGTTCTCATCTCCCTGTAATATGCTGAATCAGATGAATTTGATTTTACTTGCCGTCATCAATCACAAAGAATATTTCCCAGGAGAGCAATAAGATATTATTATCAGTATTACGTAGCTACAGAGACTTCATTGTACAAAGTACTTATTGCAAAATGTATGGACAAAAGTTACGGACAATCATCAGGATTGGAAAACTTCATGGCTTCAGGCAAGTGTAAAAGCAGTACCTTACGAAAATCCCCAGTTGTGTGGTGTGCGACGTCCTCTTCCAGCGATTTCTTGTATCGAGCATGATATGCTTGTCTTGCCAACAGCAAGTGGTGAGGAGACCTTGTGCAGGCTATTTCCATGAGAACCTGATTGCTTGAAGTCCATCTTTTCGTTGCTTCATTTGCCAAGTACGCATCACGTTCAGCCAGATCAAGCGTCCAATGGACCACCAGCCTCTGATGATATGGAAATTACAGGATGCAAAGAATTTAGAAAATCACAGTCCTGTTATACACACGGCTTTTTGAACAGAACGTATGGATAATCAACTAGGAATGAATATGGATTAATCCTAGAGAGGAGGCCACGGCTCCATGAAATGAATACAAATAATTAAATAAGATCAGACCTCGAAATCATTCGTAAGTTCTCTGTCCAATGCCTTGAGGAGGTCCTCGCCGTAAGTCTCGGCATAGGTTTGCCTAATCAGCTTCCTCTGCGCCACATTCCTATGAGCCAAAATGGATATGATCAACTTTTCATTTGTTCCCCATCCTTCGAGGTCGTTCATGAGAATCATCAAACGAGAGAAAAGATTAAATTAGGCAATAAGTTTGAACATTTTTTCGGGACCACACTATATCCCTGGGCTCAAGGTAAGAAACAAGTTACCAGCCTAACAAACATATTGCAGCTGCAATGGAAGATCAATTTTTTTTTGCAACTCCAAATCATTCCTGATCTAGAAATAGCTCGATCTTAACAGCCGATCAGCCAAAAAAAAAAAAGAGCACGAGAACTCTAGAGCAGATCGGCACCGAAAGATCGCTATGACCAGACCAAGATCTCCAAGCAGATCATAGATCCAGACACTAAAAAGAGAACACGATCGTCGACGGACACACACAACACGCGATCGTCAAACCCTGCTAGCGAACCTGCGAAAGCTTTACGGAGTTGCTCGCAGTCATCGGCCATGGAGGGCACTGACTCTGGGACTGTGAGAGTCGACATCGTTGAGGGGACAGAGGATCTTGGAGGGGGTGTTCGCGTCGGTAGCGAAAACGACAGATGAAGAAGGAGACAACACAGAGTGAGAAAGCCGCTTTTAAGGAGAGATATAGAGAGAGAGCGCGCAACGTAAACATGGAAAGCGGTAATCCTGAGGCGCTGTGCGAGCGCCACGTGTCGTCGCAATCACGACATCCGCTTTCTCGAAGTGGAGACCCGAGGGACGCGGCGTGACATGAGAAGAGAGACATCACGCGGCAGGTGGGACCCGTCGGGGCCGGTCGAGGCCCGTTTGTACAAAATTTTCCCTTGGGCATTTGCAATGGCAATGGACGTAATAAAACTATAGGAGAAGTGAATCATAGATCTTAAAATTTATCTTCACGGACTAATTAAGTATTAAAAATTTTAAAAAAAAATACAATTAAATCTTATAATTTATCAAGTCGATGCAATTGAATATCTTTATTAGCTCCGTCCATCTAGTTAACGGAAAAATGCTGACGTGACTTTTTGATATTTTCTTTCTCCATAAGTGATCAGTATGATAACGAAGAGTGCCACGGTGACAAGAGGTCCTAAACAATGCTGTTTTTCACCAACTTTAATTAAAATTAGATTTAAAAGGAAAAAAAGGTCAAAATAAAAATGAATTAAAAAAAGCCGAAAATGAAAGTAAACGAAAAACACATCCTGCCGAAGGGGGCTTCAAGGGCAATGCCGTCGCCACCAACTCCTTCGGCAAAGGACAGGCAAGGCAAGGGCGAACCCAACCCCTTTGGTTTGCACCTTTTTTTATTTAAAAAAAAAAATCTTTGGCTTTCTTATTTTTATTTTTATTTTCGTTAGGCAAAGTGGACGGAGCCAATGAAGGGATTATACCAATTTGACAAATTCTATGACTTGATTGTACTTTTGAACATGTTAAGACTCAATTGCATTTGCGTGTATGAGTTTTAGGAATTTTGATACACGAATCTCTGAAAATAATTTACCTTACCAAAAAAAAAATCTCTGAAATTAATTCTTACTAAATTGGTTCTCTCTCTTTGAAGGATGTAAAGTCAATCACATAATTTGATCCAAGCAAATCATACTGTGATCTGCATTTCATTTTTTTAAAATTATGATGTCGGTACACATTCAACTAAAATAATTGAACGAAACTCCACAAAACTAGATGCCAGGTTCCACCAATTGTGTTCGTTTGAGCTGATTGCATTTTCTACCGTTAGTGTTTACGATTCTACATGACAAGCCAAATTATAACAAGTCAATGTAATAGCTACAAGAAATATCATGATCTTGTTTATCTCTTAAGCAATTTTTAAGGATTGGACGGCGCAGCTGTAGGCCATCTCATTCAAGTTGGAATTGCAAATCACAATAATTCCCCTTCAAGTAACTAATGAAGTATTACATGCATGGATAATGGAATTAACTAAGATAAATAAAGTACAAGATAGGGTTTATTGGGTTGCAGTAGAAAGATCGAAATATCTCAATAAGTAATGCATGTAGGATCAACTAGTTCTTCCAATTTGATGCCCTTTGATGCTCTTAACACGATTGAGCTATCTGCTAATATTGCCCGAGAAATTTGTTGCGTGGTTGGACAATTCTCTGGTTTGGGATTTAAGCACAAAAATCCCATCTTTGTCACCAAAGCCACTTTCCCTAGCACATTACCTTCTGGGTATGGAATTCTTTGATCTAAAACTTCTTTCAGTGGCCAAGAAGCCATTGAATTGCTCGATGATGATGATGATGATGCTGAAGATGAGGACGCGAGAGAAGAAATGAGATTGCCCGGATGGCCTCCCATGATTACTTCCAATGTCACCATTCGGAAGCTATAAATATTGCATTTCTCGTTCACTTCCATTGTGTATGCGAGTTCCACATAGAGAAAAGAGCAATTTTTTTCTAGCTTTTATTCAATATCTATGCTTTGTACATCTAAACTGATTTTGAGTAAATCAAATCTAGAGAATTAAGTATAAATCAATACATTCTTTAGATTCCAATGGGATTTAAAATTTTGCATTTCTTTAGGAAAAAGTATCACTGTTTAAATTGGCGGTCGACATCTTAAATAATCTTTAATTGAACCTTCAAATCGCATGATAGCGTGGGACTTGGTGTCTCGACTCAAGAAACAATTGAATAATGAGGTTGAATTTAAAAGGAAATCATGATGACCGAATTTTTTTGCATCTCCAGATCATTCCTAGACCTAGAAATAGCTTGATCACCCAAAAAAAAAGCATAAGATTTCTAGAACATATCGCTACTGAAAGATTGCTCCGATCATATCACGATTGGGCAAAATTTTTTAGGCCCGGTTAATGGGCAGGCCGGGCCCAAGCAGGGGTCTTGAAATCTGGCCTGCCCATACATTCACGTTAAAAATATAAGAGTTATGTTTTATTAATAATACATTCTCGACATTTAAAGTTTGTAAACACTAATAGGATAAAATAAGCCTAAATTTCTAATATAGGATCGAGAAGCTATATAAAAGTGATATGTAAACTAGTGAAATAAAATAATACAAAGGCATAATATCAAATATGTTTATTTTCCATACTTATTGATTTTTTTTTAAAAATTCAGATTATAAAAAACAGTATATAAAAAAAGGTGGTCTGATGGAGGGCCCGACCTGCCCAAGTTTTTCGCTTAGGTGGCCTTGGACACATGCAAAAGCAATGGACATAAAAAAAATGATAAGTGTATTGAAAGTCTCAAAACTTGTCTCAAAAGTGTAATCAAGACGTAAAACTTATCAAATTGATGCAATTAAGTTTCTCTGTTAGCTCCATCCAATTTGGCTAACGGAAAATATTAATGTAAGTTTTCATTTACTTTCTCTTTCCTACGTGACCATAATGACCAAAATGATGTATTTTTTTCCTCCTAATCTCAATTGAAATTAAATTAAAGAGTCTAATGAAATGGCTGAAAAGCAAAAGAGAAAAACGCACTCTACCGGAGGGGGCTTGTTGACACCTAAATTTTAGCTATTTTTTTTAGTCATTAATTTTTTGCATAAAAATTAGGGACTAACCTTAATCCCTAGTAAAAAGTACTTAAATCATTTTTCATATAGGATAGTTTATTTTATGCATTATATTTTTTGCTTCTCAGGTATTCTGTGCCGCTGGCCGGCATGTCTAATGTACTAGAAGTTTTGGAGTCGTCGTTCAAGAGAAGTCTTTCCCCGCGGTTGCACGACTTGCACCATCTTCATGAGAGCACATCGAAGACAAAGCAGCATATGGAGATTATGACGTGGTGGGGTCTCGAATCTGGTGGACAGGGAGGAAGATCAGTGAATTTGATTTCCTTTGTATCTCCGTGCAAAAGGGAAACAATATAAAAAATACAAGAGAGGAAAGTGGAATCCGGTCAATATAGGGGCGTATATTCTGATCAATATCTTGCATCGGGCGTGAACAAAAAGGCCAAAATAATGAAAAGAGCCAGAATATAATATGAGGAAATTTGATTTATTCTCTTTTCTGGAAAGCCTAAGTCTTCCCCACTTATAAAAGGGACCCAAAAGCGAAAGAGCGAAGAGGGGTCCAGAGAGGTATGGAGTGAGGGCTTCGTCAAAAGAAAAGGGTGAGCAGAGAGAGTGAATTGGAGAGAAAAAAAAAATACGCTTCACAGTACGTCCAAAAAAGGTGAGAAAAAGTTAGAGGGGAGGGTTAGGTCAAAAAAGAAAGGAGAGAACAGACGTGAGGAAAAGAAAGAAGGTTTTCGATTTCCACTAGCCGAGAACCTTGCATCGGCATCTGTTGATCCATTCGCCGCTCGGTCCGTTGCCATTGTCGCTAGGAAACAAGTTCGAGCTACTGCCGGGGTCCTTCGCTTCTGCCATTCATTTTTTTTAAGGCTGGGAATCGGGCATTGTCACCTCACCCGTGGATCAAGCAATCCTTGGTGTTTCAATTTGATAACTTTGTCAAATTAGGTAACGAATGCTCTTAACTTGTGATATTTGTCGTGCATGATTTTTAAGTAATGATTACAGTTTGGATTACGAGAGAAACTTGCATAAAAAATCCTGGTTTTCCTTCTTGTTCTTGCTCAATCCGAAAATTCGCATTATATTGGTGATCATGTTAAAATTGCAATTTGACTTGCAAGATGTTAATTGGATCATTGTAATTTCGAATCCGTTGATGGTATGGACTTATGGATGACTATTGTTTGAATCTTTATTCAAAATTAGTGGATGGACGTTTCCTTTGTGGATGAGTTGATCTTATTTGAATTTTTGGTGATTGCAAGAGCTTCATCCGAATTTGCTGATGAGTATAGCACACACGAAGATATCTCTAAAGGATTAAGCATTGTCTAAAAAAAAAGACATTTAAAAAAAAAAAAAAAACGAAGGTGCCTCACTTAATTTAAAAACTACGATTTAACTGAATATTCTTTGGAAATCTTGGATGTGTATTACTTATCAAATTTGGATAGAATTTGAAAATTTCAAAATCTTTTGAATATATCCAAGATATTCAATATAGCAAAATCTTTTCAAGATGTGACCGGTTAGGAAAATCTCCTAATCCGTAACGGCACACATGGGAATAAGTCTATCTATCAGGCTTTAGATAGAGTTATTTTCATAGCGGGTATTTCAAATTTTTAGGGTCGATCTGTCAGGCTTCAGATCGAAACTTAGTTTGAAAGATTTAGCGGTTATAATCTTTCTACTAAAAGATTTGCGACTTGAATTTAAATTCGAAAATACATAAAAAATACAAAAAAAAATTCATAAAAAAAGAAAATCCAAAAAAAATTTGCACCTTTGAACTCTAAGTCAGAATTCATCAAAATTGCCGAATTGAGCATTTTTCTTTAGATTGGTACCGAAAGGACGTTAGGGTAATCTAGTGTAACCAAGTCTCTGGATTTATAATCTCTGGTTTGTAGAAATAAAATAGTACTTCCGCTATTTTATTTAGGTTTCTAATCAACCTACCTTAAATAATTAGTGGCAGCTCCCATTGAAAATATTTGCATGCTCATAATTGGACCTAAGTTGCGAATTGATAGAGTTTGGGAGAACTCGAGCTA